ATTTCAGACTAGGTTGATTTGCTAACTTTTGGAATTTTTGTCTGAAAACTCTGTTTTACGATGATGATTATTGACCCGGCTATTTGATGTGAGTTTGAGTTGCCCTCGCCTCCAAAAGCAGCATTACAAATCCTTCTTTATTCTTTTTCTTTTTTGGAAACAAAAGTTTGGACAGCCAACAGATAATGGAAGCACACTCACCAGGTTTACATGTTTACACTACAGTTTAGTTGTTGGCTTGAAATAATGGACAAAATCTGATATATTAAAAAAAAAAACATTACAGGAATCCAGATATCTTCTTATTACAACATGAAATGCTGGAATGGTAAAGCGATGGCTTGCACCTGTTTGTCTGTTTCATTTAGTCTGATTCAGTAACCTGCTTGACGCTCAAGATACTGTGAGTGAGCATAAATGACCAGGAGGGGTTGAAAGAATTAAAAGTTAATATTTCTATTTCAAATAGAGGCTATTACACACTGTATGTTGTGTATCTGAACTGGAAAACATTAAAAAGACATTCTTAAACAAAATGATTTGCCATTACTGTTCTTCAGTTTTGTCATGTGGTTAGATATAAAGTTATTGCTTTACTTATTTAGGCCACTTGGGGGCCAGAGAACAAATAGACACAACAAGCGCCTTTAAAGTTTGTTGAGCTATCTCGTAAACTGTTTAGCTAGCAGCCAGCTGCCAGGTCAAAATTTATTTTGTGTTTGTTTATTATACCGTATAAACTATATCTCATACTGTAGCTTTCAGCTCTGGTTTGGTCTCCACTGTGTCCTAAAGGAAAAAGTCAGTTGCTATGGTTTAATTGTAGCTACATATTTAGCCGTAACTTTGTGGATTTGGAGGCACACTCTTAGGAGAGCTGAACTGTTTTTTGTAAAAGTGCTGCTGCTGGGAAGAGGATTAACATTTGTATATTGAAGTCTTATTTTGAAGTGTACGTTTAAAAAAGCGAAAGTTCAATAAGCTGACATGGTTAGCTGCAAAGGTAACTATAAATTGTTTGTGGGACTGCTTTAACATCAATTTATTTCCTTACTTGTATTTATATATCGAATATCATAATGAAGGAAGTGATGTTGGTGTTTTTGTTTATTTTTTTAAATAAATAAATAATGTGGTTGTCCAGATCAACAAACAAGACCAAGAACAAGACATATCAGGTGACGTAAGAAGGCTTTGAAAATGTTTCACTTTCTATCCATATTGTCATCCTCCCTGGTTTGACTGCAGGTTTTCTTTAGTTTGTCTGGTGTAGCAATAGGAGCATATCCCAAACTGTTTTTTTTCTAGTTGTCAGGATCTACTGTAGCATTTGTCCCGAAATGCATTTTCCAAAAGGGACTCCAGATTTGACGTTGGCTCTGTAAGATCTTTGGTTTTTCATTTCAAAGCCGAAAATAACTTGGCAGCAGCCGGTCTTATTAGGGAGACTGTCCTCTGATCTGTGTTTATTCAGCTGCAGCATGCACACAATAAATCAGCAGCACGGCAAATATACTGGAACACACTGATGTGCTGCTGCTGCTGCTGCTGGGGAATAAATGCTAATGTACAGTCATCCATCCATCCATTCATCCAAGTCCTGGTGTCGAAATAACTGAGAACCTTCTTTTTCACACAACAATTGTATATATGTAAGTTTAGGCAACAACTCGGCAAATTACATTTTTGGGTGAAAAGAAGAACAACCTATGAAGCAGAGTGATATTACTTTTTATTTAATTTAGCAAAACAAAAAAGATATTAAAATAATCATTGTGGTACATCCAAAACTGTGCACCCTTCTACTCAGATTTGCATAAGCCCTCAGATGACTATACATAGTGGTCGATCTACTTTTCTAAATCAGGGGCCATGAAGGGGCCATAATTTACACAGAGGGGCCAATTATACGTCGAACATCCATGCACAGTTCTTGATTCAGTAAGGTGAACATTTAAGTCATTCCCTCTTTACTGTGAGCTCTATAGGTTTGAGCAAAGCCACACCATTGAATATATTTAGAAAATGGTTCCTTGTTCATGCACATTGTGTACATAACTTATTGCCATATTTATTATTATGTTATTATATAGTATTGTTAGAAAGTGACCAGTTAAAAAGACAAGTAACACAGACAGGGACACTTCAGGGGCCATTTAGATTTTAGTGCCCCCCTGGCCCCACCCCTGGAGACTATTTTCAGTTGTAGTTGGTGTCAAGACAAGGTCTGGAGAACAAGAAGTTTTTCAGATAGTAGCCTACTGGATTACTTTCTGGGCGAAAAGGCAAAGAATCCACAGAAATGCACTCACCGGCCACTTTATTAGGTACACCTTGCTAGTACCGGGTTGGTACCCTTTTGCCCTCAGAACTGCCTTAATTCTTTGTAGCATAGATTCAACAAGGTGTTGGAAAATTTCCTCTGAGATTTTGGTCCATATTGACACGATAGCGTCACGCAGTTGCTGCAGATTTGTCGGCTGCACATCCATGATGCAAATCTCCCGTTCCCCCACATCCCAGAGGTGCTCTGTTGGATTGAGATGTGGTGACTGTGGAGGCCATTGGAGTACAGTGAACTCATTGTCATGTTCAAGAAACCAGTTTGAGATGATGTGAGCTTTGTGACACGGTGCGTTATCCTGCTGGAAATAGCCATCAGAAGATGGGTACACTGTGGTCATAAAGGGATAACCATGGTCAGCAACAATACTCAGGCAGGCCGTGGCGTTTAAACGATGCTCAATTGGGGTAGCCCAAAGTGTGCTAAGAAAATATCCCCCACACCATTACACCACCACCACCAGCCTGAACCGTTGATACAAGGCAGGATGGATCCATGCTTTCATGTTGTTTACACCAAATTCTGACCCTACCATCTGAATGTCACAGCTGAAATCGAGACACCAACAACCATGCCACGTTCAAAGTCACTTAAATCCCCATTCTTCCCCATTCAGGTCGTCTTCAGCACATCTAGATGCCTAAATGCATTGAGTTGCTGCCATGTGATTGGCTATCAGCAGCTATTTGTGTTAACAAGCAATTGAACAGGTTTGGCTAATAAAGTGGCCGGTGGGTGTAAGTGGCGGAGCAGGAAGGTTTAGCTGTAGGAGTGGTGGATCATTGTTTCATTGTGCAGCACAAACCGAGAACATGGAGGAGTCATTCATAGGAAACCTGAGAACTCTTCACAAATGGATGAACCAGAGTCACCTCAGAAACAAATGCTGCAGACAGATGAAGTTGAGAGGTCAGCATCAGAGCTGTTGCAGCCTGAGGGAGGACGTATTCTGGTTTAGGGTTGTGTGGCAGCCAGTCGCACAGAAAACACTGAATAGTTTGATTTCAGAATATTTGGAAACAAAATACAGAACTGCTACAGTAAAAGACCATACAATCTAAAATAGTATCAGAGTAGTAGATATATTAGATTACCCTTAAGAAGGAGGGCTTTTGAGGTTTCAAAAACTGGACAATGATCCACAGCAGAGCTCATCAGGCTTCATTCAAATTACACTGGAGCTTTTGAACAGTGCCCAGAGTCTTGTGATGAGATGGCCAAACTTTTAAATACAACCGCATATTTAATTATGTGTTTTCACTGGAACAATAAGGGCTTTAAGAACGCAACCCTAACGGCATTGCATTTCTACCCTGTGATGTATTGTTTTTTTCACTGACATCTTTGTTATTTTAAATATCACAGGTAGACTAACCTTATTAAAACAACAAAGCCTCTTAATCTAAAAAAAACACCCTACGGCCAATTGTGTGACAAAGACTGTTGAAATTTGTTTGCATTAATATATATATATTATAATAATGTGAAGGCAAAGCTGACCATACAGGATTCTGAACAATTCTAAAGTTTATAATGCATTTATGTTTTAATAAATCAGTAGTCATTTATTGTTTTTCATTTTTCTTCATAACTGAAATACCAAAGTAATTCTTTTAGTTTAGAATATCTGACTTGAACTATTGCAGCAGTAAGAAGCAGTTCATTAGTCCCCAGTCTAATAAGTCTTCTGGTTGACGTGCGCTGCATTAATCATCATTATCTTTCTTATAACAACTCCATTGTGTTTCACTGTTGTTTCGATGAAAGATGCACATGGTAATGTCTTTGCATTTATCTTCTGCACTCGACCCAATTTCCTCTGCAGATAATAACACTCGCTCGGTTTACCTGCAACACATCATTAATGAACATACCATTGTTCCCTCACTAGGTGGCAGTGTGCAGCTGTAATGTACAGAGAAGGTCAACCTGCTGCAGCAGAACATAGCTCTGACCCAAATGTACCGGCTTCTGTTAAATAGATTATTTTTTATTGAAAAAAAGAAAATAAGCATCTTCCTCTTTGAAACTGAAAATACAAAAGTAATTTCTAGAAATCTTTTAAGAATTATAATCTTCAAAAACAGATTTTATTTTTCACTGGATACCGAAATATTATTCTCAGTGTCTTGCAAACTATGAAAAATAAATGTTAAAAAAATATGTATCTGTCCAAAATATTGATATGTTTGTTCAAATCCTGTTCATTTTCATTTTAGCATTAGAAACAATGTTTCCTATATCTTCAAAAGATTGTATTACTACCAGATGGATTCAAAAAATTAATAAACTAAACCCATCAGGACACCATAAAAGTCAAATCCAATTTATAACAGCTGACTGAACAGTCAGACTCATGCTTGCTCAAGGACTCAAGAAGTTATATCTTAGTTTAACACGTCTGTCTTAAATGTGTTAATGCAGCATATAAAGTACAAACCAACAACAGGTGAGGCCTTTATTTATTTTATCTCATACCACATTTGCGATTCTTTTCTCTAATCACAACAAATATCTAAAATTCAAATAGTGTTCAACCCAAGTTCAGTATCATATATAGTATACTTCACAGTATATGAAAGAAAAACACAATACAGGTTGGTAAATTAAGATATTTTATTTAAAGAGGCAATTTGCATACTACCACATATTTGCATAATAATTATCTTCTCAACAAAGCAGATCTGTGAAATTTGTGTGGGGATATGATAAAAGAACACGTTCTTTGCTGAGGAGAAGTTTCTTTAGTGTTATCAAGCACTTTTTTAGAAACTTTCTAATAGAATAACTGAGGTGCAACATTTTTTGAAATTGCCGCAAATAGAAACCGACATGGACAGAAGGTATAAGTGGAGTGGTTTTCAGATGGTGTGCTGCAGGTAAAGAGGAAGTGGTGATGGAGAGATGCAGTTGTCATAAAAGAGCTGAAGGTTCTGATCAACGTCCATATTGCTTCTTATAAACATCTCCAGCTCCTGCACCGTCATCTCGTGCACACTGTTGCCCTCTTTGGCGTTTTTGGCCAGGGCTGCATGGGACGGGAAGCGGATGCGGACGTGGTGTGGTGAGTTCCGGTCGTAGTCGGTGCAGCAGTAGGCCGACCACACGTCCTCGGGAATGGCCACGCGGTCCTGGTTGTTTCGGCGGATCATGTTGCCCTTGGTGGTCACCCCGGTCACAATGTAGGCCGTGCCGCGGCAGAAGTTGTTGAGGCGGACCCGGATCCGCTCCTCGTACTCACGCCAAGGCCCAATGTTGAACTCACGGATCTCTGGGACCACGTTGGTCAGGGTGTAGGTGGCGGCGCGGTCGTGGGGGGTGGACTGGTGCTGGTCTGGGTTCAGGTGGGCTCTCTCGTAGAGGACCACGTCAGAGTAGTCTTCCAGGACTGCCTGGCTGTCCTCAAACTTCATGTGTAGGTAGCCTGTGGGGAAGGGCATCATGTTCCCGATGCCATCGGTTTCTGCCAGCTGAGGAGACACAGGAGAGGTTACAGTGAGGTGTTAGTTCTGCTGGTATATAAAGCCAGTGTTGTCTCTGAGGCCTCTAAATTCCCCTTTTCTTTGTTCGCCCTCTGACCTCTGGAGTGGATCTACGGCCTATTTCAGCTGCCAGGCTCCTCTCCTGCTGAACAGCTCTCAGTTTGTGTTCCGGAGTCAGAAACCATATCTAGGTTAGACTTTAAACATTCTCTTGGATAAAACTATCCAAGCTTAGGGCATGATAGTCATCAGGTGAGTCCTGAACCATACCTAAGTTATGCTGCTATAGGCTTGTTTGTTCACCTCTCCCTCTCTCTCTCTCTCTCTCTCTCTCTCTCTCATCATTCCACAGGATCTGACTACTCAATGATTATTGTTATTATTACTAACATTGTTATAACATAACCTTCTGCTGCTATCATTAATAACATCATTGCATCTGTAAGTATCACTTACATGATCTCATCATCATCATATTACCAGTCTGACAGAACTTAATTGTTACACAACTGTTTCCCCCCCTCCCTATGACTCTCTCTCCCCTCCCCTCTTTTCCACCCACCTCTCCACTCTTCCCCTTTTTCTCTTCTCACCCCAACCAGACGAGGCTGCTGCTCTTACACATTGGTTCCATAAGTTTCTCACTGTTAGAAAGAGAGTTGTCTCTCCACAGTCGCCAAAGTGCTTCCTCTGTGTGGGAACTGTTGGGTTTCTCTATAATTTTGTAGGTCTTGACCTTCTATGTAAAGTGCCTTGAGATAATGTATGTTATGATTTGGCACTATACAAATAAAATTGAATTTTAGCTGCTGTCAAGTCTTTTCTGAGAGATATGTGTACATAATGAATGTAGTGTGAATATAAGTCTCAGACCTGTGGCTCATACATCCAAGGGTAGTCCACCAGTCTCTCCTCCTCTGTCTTCTTGAAGGTATACGCTGAGTAAACTGGAATCCTCTTCTGAGGGTCATACAGGGTCACATAGCGAGGTAAGTCTGCGTATTTTTGGCAGATCTTCTTTAGCCTTATGTCGAAGAAGCCCCGCGGTGGCGTCCCCATGTACAGGGAGTCCTTGCACCTCTCTACATGATTGAAATCCTGAACGACTGTCAACGACATCAGAGGTAAAAAGCAGGTGATGAGAAAAGCAAAAACCAACATCCTGATCGAATTCATGGTGAATGATGTCTGGACGGTGTATCCAACCATAGCCTAAATGACAGAGAATGTTTACAGTCATGATTTAAATGTTAGTAGATATGCGAAGTAGGAGTAGATATGCAAAGCAAGTCACGTGTGACCAAATGAAAGGCCTCCTGACACATGTGGGTGTGGATGTACAGGGTCAGTTCTTTATTACAACACACAATTATTATTATAAATGATTTAAAATACAATCGATCAATTAAATTGTATTTGTAAAGCCCATATTCACATATTACAATTTGTCTCATAGGGCTCAGGTGTGACATCCTCTGTCTTTAACTCTCAACAAGAGTAAGGGAAATCTACCACAAACAAACTCTATTGACAGAGCCACATGTGAAGGATCCCTCTCCCAGGACAGACAGAAGTACAACAGATGCCACGTGTACCTAAAGTTAATGAATGAAAGAGTTATTGTCAGTATTAGTCAGGCATTTTTATTTATAGAGATATCACTAACTGTGCACACTTTGAGAATGGATCTGGTTCTGGAAGTCGATCTCTTCATTTAGAAAAATCCTTGCACCGTGGTCTCATATCACGTGCTCGTGCAGAGAATGAGAGACTTTCAACTTTTATTTTGCCCATGTCCCCTTAGGGGCTCTGTACTGCTGCACCTTGGGATTGTGGGTAGTGTAGTGTTTCTCCTTGACATTGCAATGTTTTCCTTAAAACTCCCTCTACAGGAGCAAATTACATTTTTTCATAATGTCATAGCTTGTTCTTGAATGGTTAAAATATTATGGCTGATAATAAAAATCTCTATTCAGAAAAAGAATGGGATTTTTACTTCTTCAACAATGCTGTTGAGCTCTATTGTTCTACATATCCTCTTTAGTACCACAAGGAAATCATAATAAGTAAACCTTATAGTTCCTAATGGCCTAGTCCTAAAAATGAGTCACACTTGTGAATCCTCCATTTGGCACAAAATGTAAAGCTTCAAGCTTCCTGCCAGAAAAACCTTTGTGACCTTGCGTGATCTTTTCTCTCCTCTGATGTAAGCATAGTAGGTTTTTGCTGTAGGGGAAGACATCTTTTTAAATTAATTGCAGTGCACTTTCACTGCCTCACAAATTCTGCTGTGGGATGAACACCGAGCATTGAGATGAGATATGCCAACCCAAGGATAAAATGCAAACTGTCTAATCTGCCCCAGTGACGAACAAAAGACCTACAGTGACCAGTGTGGTACAGATGTACTATGGTGCTCACTATGAATGGTGGATAAGCCAAAGGGCAAAAGAGAGATAAAGCATGAGGGTTTATTATAGTGACAGAGTGTACGTGGCCTGCTCCTGTGTGTTGCTACTGCATTACATCAGATACAATAGTTAAAGCTGAAATATAATAAAAACCGTCTACGGGCAGAGATAAAAGCGTTTGTACAGATGGGGTTTAATTTAGAGTCGGAGCGAAAAAAAAGGGTTGTTTGTGTTTTATTTTATGAGCAACAAGCTAATAAAGATTTCTTGCACATGAATTAGTTGTGAAGATGGTGAAGAATATGAAGAAGCTAAATAAGAAAACAAGCCAGTACAAGGACTTCTTAGGAAATCAAGAAACGTCAATTGCAACAGGGTATTTCAGAGCAAATGACTCAGTGTTCTGCCAAAACAGCTGCTTGACCTATTTTGGCAGCGAGCTGTGTATGGAGCAATTCATCCATTAGAAAGCATTCACTTTTATTGCTTAGTATCTTTCTTTAAACACCACTATTTAAATGTTACATCAAAGTTGGTTGATCATCTCATTATATTCCCTGAAAGAAGACTTCATCATAATCTGTGATTCCAAAAACAGCGGATGTTTAACCAAATATTGGGTCAGCTTTAGCTGAGGTGGTTGACACAGTGGAAAGTGGCTTGCACAGTCACCTCAGTTCAAAGTGAGTTCAAAGCTTGCATGTTCTCCTCGTGTCTGTGTGTTTTTTTTTAGGGTACTTCCACTTCCTCCCACAGTCTAAAGAACTGCAGACTTGGGTTGCTGCAGCAGATCATGAAGAAAAATTGACCATAGACGTAAATTTAAATTAAGTCAAGATAGACTTTATTGTCCCAGTGGGAAATTCACCTTTGATACCTCAGTGTTTGTAGTGTGAAAACACAATTGAATACATTCATCATATATATCCATATACATAGGTACATTTATATATAGTGCAATGCAATACACTGATCAATGACAATAAACACATATTTCAGCCTTGGTGGTTTTAAGGGCTTTGATGGACGGGGGGAGACATTTGTGTTTAAAACAGTGGTACCATGCTGAGGGAAACCCTGTACCTGGTGCTCAGGATGTGAATAGGTGAATTCTTGGCCTTGTTTGATTATGGTTTGTTGAAAAATGACCTGGGGATTGAGATGTTCACAGACATTATTTTCTTGGCTGTGTTTGTAAGCTGGTTGATCTGAGCCTTTAAGTTACCACGACATGCAAGATACCGTAACGCTGCAGGACTAGAAACTGCACTTCACAGCTTGCACCACAGGATGTGAGACCTCCAAAGGAAGTAAATGGTTTGTATTTAAATAGCACTTTTCTATTCTTGATAACCACTCAAAGTGCTTCATAGTACAGCTTATTGCCAATCACACATTCTTAGAGTGCATCTTTTCTATGAGGGGAGTGTTCAGTATCTTGCCCCTTCGGCATACAGATGGGAAAGACTGGGATCAAACTGTCAACCTTCAGAAGACAACCGCTCTAATCCCTCAGCCACAGCCGCAAGCCCGAAGTGCATGCTTCATAGGTTTTTATCGATGTGGAGGTACCTGTAGGAGTCAACCTGCGTAATGGCCATGGTCAAGGTGAAGAGAGCCGAAGACACATATTGGGTCCAATATTATATCTTCTCTCCTTTTGTGTTGAGTTTGAGACAGTGCTGATAATGTGAGTGTGAATGGTTGTTTGTCTCTGTATGTCAGACCTGTGATATGCTGGTGACCTGTCCAGGATCGCCTCTCACCCAATGACAGCAATGTTATACAACAATGTAATACAGAGAGATAAGATTTAGGATAATTTAGATATGCACACAATCATTGTCATGGCAATCAGTTAGTTGTTGGGTTGGGTCTCTTCATGTGATTTGTTGACAATGAGAAAATATAGAATAATGTCACACCTTTTTATCCAGGATATACACTGATCCACACCTGCAGTGCAGATACTTGAATTTAAAAAAATAATAATAAAAACTTTATTGATATAGCACATTTCAAAACAGCCGTTACGAAGTGCTTGACAAATGAAAACAAGAATACAAAAAAGACAAAGGCAACAAGCAAATTTTACAGCATATAAAATAATACATCATTTAAAAGGTAGGACAAAAGGTGATGGCAAAAAAAAAAAGATTGTTACAGTGTCTTAACGTCATGGAAGTTTCTTGTATAGCTATGGAGTTCACCATAAAAGGGAAGAAAAGGATTTGTAATAGCTGACACATTTGATTGTGCAATGATTTTTCCAAACAACCCCCTTTTCACAACTTTCAGAAGTGCATTATTCCTGTCAATTCACTTTTCCACTAAACTCACAAATCTATGCATTAACATATTCTCTATTCCTTTTTTATGTCTTTTATTTCATTTTGTCACATTTCCATACTGGAGGAGTGTGAACAGTGTTAGAGTGTTGGTAATTGAAAGATGTAAGGACACCTCCGGAAATCAAAGCGTCACTATACTAGTCTGATATTTTGACAGACTGACTCATATTCCAAAAACAGTTTTTTCTAAGATACTTACCCACTGAGAGGAAATGTCATCAACACACAGTTCAATTTCTGTGCCGCAGACAATTACATCAGACAGAGAATGGCTCCACTTCTGTTTCTTCTTATTTTGTTGCCTCAAATCGAAGGTAATTGCTTCTAAATTTCTTATTTTTATGTTT